GACGGCAAAGGATGTGGACAACAAAAGTTGGTACATTGAACAGAACATCTTTTGTCAAGAGCGGATGTTTAGGTTGGACGCCTAGCTTATGGATAGACTGGATTCGATTCATGAGGGTAATGGCTTTACAACGCCGTAATTTTGTTGCGTTACGAGGGGAGCTGTTTCTTTCTAGTTACCCAGGCATTAGGGGGATTTTAATATGGAATTGTCCGTTTCCAGCCTTTGTCCGAAAAATCTCATCCACGAAGCAGTAAGAGAAGAACAATTTTGCGACCTTTGACCCTTTGACTCTGGCAGGATAGTCTGATATTTTTTGGTCGTAGAGGTTTGGTTCTTTCTGAGGAACTGGAGAGGGATGCACAACTGTCAGGCTGCCGAAACTATCGTGAAAAACAGGTGCCTTCCAAGTAACAGAAGACTGTTATTTCTCTTAAAAGTTTTTTGAATTTATTGACAATTCACCGTTTATCACTGTCACCTGTTAGCCTATTGGAGTGTGAATTTTTCTGGTATCGACATCTCCTAACCCGTCCTTCTTCGACAGAAGACACCTACGCTCGTTCTATAGATATGGAGACGTTGGAGGAAAATACGTAAACGAGTAAGATTCCAGACACATCATTGTGGCATCTCCTCGTAGGTGTCTGTGCTTGTAGAATGCTCTAGCTGGATTTGGCAAGTTACATGCTCTCATGATAAACGAGACAGGAACTAGGGGTTTATGAGTTTATCTGAGGACCGCGAATCTGCTCTCTTAATCATGTTTTCCCGTTTAGAGCCTACAGGCGCGTCTCAGCGAGTTTACGGCGCGTCTATCACGTGAAACACAAACGACGCCGTGCAAATAGGCTTGGGCAGATTTTACATTTGGTCTAGAAAGCAGTTGTGTATGTATAACCAAAAAGCGCTTAAATTCGACCGCCAGTAGCCTAGACGTCCAAAAAAATCAGAAGCTCTCAGTGGTCTCACAATGCTGTCGATATTCACGTGATCTACCGAAAGGATGTTACAAGTTTAGAATGAATAACCTGCATGTAGCAAAGTAATTCATCCGTGTTCGGTTGCTCTCAAGCAGAAACTGATGCAGAGTACCCAGAAACTGGTATTTTTGAAGAATCATTGCGGGGAAGAAATCCCCAAACTTATACATATTCCATCGTGTGTTTGTTTCTGCTTGATTCGATAACTGCTGATATGGAAGTAGACCGGTGAAAATGTCATTGATACCCTCTTTTTAAGAATGAACCCTGATAATTTTTGCGAACCCGATCGTGTTATGAACGTAGATAATCGTGGGAAAACCTAAGAAGTGCAGATAACCTGGCACCATACTAAATGTTTGGCGATCGAAATTACCTGTCAAAAGATAGGTTCCATTCGATAAGCCAACAATGTGGGGATGAACAGCCCAACGGGGGCTGGGGCAAAGGGGAGGCTGGAATCTTCCTAAATTTATGTTATCTCCATAGGCCCAATAAAAGCTGGTTTGAAGAGATTGAATTGAACACAAAAACGGGTTCAAAAGTCGGCAATATTTGCATGACTTCCAATGAGTTTCGTGACACAGTGTCTGTGGGGGAGGGTAAGGGAACAAGATAGTCTATCCAACCGCCAAAACAATTCGTCTAAACGAAAAATTTGAGCTAACTTCGAGCCAAGTGTTTGAATATGGTTCCATAGAGCCACGACAACTTTTCTGTGCATTTAGTAATCACGGAATGGACAAACAGGTTTTGGTCTTAGTAACGAGGTGATGAATGGATGCACATACGCACCGAACGGTTCGAGCTTCCTCACACAAACGCCCCCATTGAAGATGATGGACCCCACATACTGTCATGAACACAAAGTTATGTAAATATGAACTTCAAGGTCGTTTGTCATCAAACTATTTTCCAGTGGATTTATGCCAACTGTAACTCTGATAAACGTGGAGTGGTTTGTCCCTAATGATCTTGAAGGCGTTTGTAGGGTGCACATGTTGTTGTGAATGCACCAATAATTAAGTCTGATATTCAAGGTCGTTTGAAATAAAACTAATTTCCGGTGGATTAGTGTGGATTGTGAGTTGATCCACGAGGTGCCACTTGGTCGTTTATTTTACCAAGAAGCTTTCGGTGTTACTCAGTACACGTTTTCGGATGTCCGTTATTCTATTATGGTTGGAGCAAATCGTTATATTTGGCTCTTTCCTAATTTTGCGTTTTCTCGATTGGTCTCGTGAATGACCAAACCATCGTTGAGGAATACTGGGACGGAAAAACCCTACATGTTCGAGTTGTTAATCTATACCATTAAGTTGAAGGCAAGGTGGATTTATCTTATCGAAAGCTGATTAGTGGCGGAAAAGGTGAATTTAAGCATCCGTCCTTTCATGCTTTTCAATATAGCTACTGAAAAAATGGGAATCTCAGCCGTATCACAAGTTCTGTGATGCATGTTCCCCGTAGTACATAAATGTTAATGATGCTAACGAGACCAGATATGTTGAGCTCGCAACGGCTTTCGATCGCCCTTTTACGAAAGAAATGAACCGAGATCGATTTCAATATAGCTCGCCGTCAGTAACATCGTCGCCGTAAACGATGGTCGTCTGGTGGTTCAGACTGAACAGAGAATCAGGCAGGTCATTTCAATGTGGTAGCGTTTCATAATGAAATAATCGGTAATGACAAAAGAACATACGGATTTGTTATGGAATCGGAGCATGTAGAGATCTTGTGCTTACAGCCTGACTTGGTAAGGTTGAAAATACTGACTGAAATCGCAAACAAAGTTAAACCAGTGAGTCTTATAGAGGAGTGAACAAATATAGAGGAAAATGTTGGTAGCTCACGTAGCACAGATGGTTGTTGGATTGTTCGCTGAGCTGAGCAGTTTGATTGCGGACGTTTCATCATCAATCGGCGTGACGTCATCAGTGCGTTGTTAGCGAGTATAGTGGAGCGTAGGGATGAGCTTAAGTGATGTTATATACTGACTATTTTGAGGGAATCGCTTGTGACATCTGTGTCTAAGCTAGGCTTCCACTGGATTTCTACGTGGTACGTAAGGTGAATACCAGTCAAAATATCAGGAACAAGCTGGATGCACTTAATGACTTTGGGGCTAGATGCCGATGACGCAAGCCTGATTGTCTATACCTCCTACAAGGAATAGAAGAAGGCTTTCGGAGTTGTTTACAATGTTAATGATGCTAACGAGACCAGATATGTTGAGCTCGCAACGGCTTTCGATCGCCCTTTTACGAAAGAAATGAACCGAGATCGATTTCAATATAGCTCGCCGTCAGTAACATCGTCGCCGTAAACGATGGTCGTCTGGTGGTTCAGACTGAACAGAGAATCAGGCAGGTCATTTCAATGTGGTAGCGTTTCATAATGAAATAATCGGTAATGACAAAAGAACATACGGATTTGTTATGGAATCGGAGCATGTAGAGATCTTGTGCTTACAGCCTGACTTGGTAAGGTTGAAAATACTGACTGAAATCGCAAACAAAGTTAAACCAGTGAGTCTTATAGAGGAGTGAACAAATATAGAGGAAAATGTTGGTAGCTCACGTAGCACAGATGGTTGTTGGATTGTTCGCTGAGCTGAGCAGTTTGATTGCGGACGTTTCATCATCAATCGGCGTGACGTCATCAGTGCGTTGTTAGCGAGTATAGTGGAGCGTAGGGATGAGCTTAAGTGATGTTATATACTGACTATTTTGAGGGAATCGCTTGTGACATCTGTGTCTAAGCTAGGCTTCCACTGGATTTCTACGTGGTACGTAAGGTGAATACCAGTCAAAATATCAGGAACAAGCTGGATGCACTTAATGACTTTGGGGCTAGATGCCGATGACGCAAGCCTGATTGTCTATACCTCCTACAAGGAATAGAAGAAGGCTTTCGATTCGGAGTTGTTTACCAGAAAACACCAACTGAACAGTTACAGACTATTGGACAGGGAAGCAAAACTCTCATATGCATATTGTTTACACAAACTGGATATCGATCTTCTCCTTGAAGGCGTCTTCCTGAACTTTCCTGGATATTCATTGGCTGTTACTCAAATGCAAGCAAATTCTACAAAGCGACTCCAAAAATTCTGTATGAGATCTCATTTTCCAGAAACGCTAAGCGGATTTACGAGAAAATGTTCTACTTGCATGCGAAATCAGTGGTACCCACCGTTACACAAGTATAGATATCAACGGTCCTTCGTCAGTGGTTCTAACAAAATCACAGAATTTGAGTTTCGTGCACGATAATTTTTTACGCCGTTCACATGTAGAATCCTGTTTATGCGACACAATACACGTAAACGTCCGTACAACGTCGATGTGATTTTACCTGATTGCAGTCGTGGAATCCAAGACCTGTTTCTACGATATTTGTCCTGTTAACTTACACGGGTGTCTTCCTGTTCGTGTTAAGTAGTCGTGTTAAGTAGTCCTTGCATGGTAAATTAAGTTAGTTGGCGACATGGGTGGATATCTACCATCATTTGAACCCACATTCAACGCATCGGCGGCTGTCTACGCTGTCACTTTGTGATCTGAATAAAAAGAAATCAAGTTTGAGTGAGATCAAGTTGTCAGCCTGCGAGCAGCCGTGCTCGAGCATCTGAAAGTTCTGTCAAAGTGGGTAAACTCTTATATTTCTCTACCACGGAAGACTGGGTCCAGAATACGAGCGAAATCATCCCGAAGAATAAAAAAAATCCTCCTCGAAAACTGATTACAATGATCCATGGGATAATGCATTGAACATAGAAGAATAAGAAAGGCGGGTTTACATAATGGTGTTAAACGAGTGGAAATTTCATCCAAATTCAAGGTCAGCAAAGACGACTCACGACACATTTGCGCGACAGAGTTCCGCGCAACTGACGTCAAAGTATGCTGACCCATTTCCTACCAATCGTAATTAGATCAGCGGTTTGAATACAGCTATAAAATGAAGTGGCTCTGAGAATGTACTTAACAAGCGTTTACTGATCGAACAATCATGCTAATTCAACATACAATCCTCCTGCTCACCACTGCATTCACCTTGGTCAGTGCTGAGACTGTGACATATAAAGACTGTGGTGAGTAGTTTCATGGGTTCCGGCGACCTGATGTGAAAATACCAAAATTAAGTTTATGTTAGGAAAAATCGTTGAAACCATCTGTTCACATCCTGATCAATGTTCGCTTCAACAGCGGAAAAAAGCATTCTCACACATATTATTAACTTCTTACAGGCTCCAAACTCACAGTCGGTTCAGTCAGCGTGCAACCGTGCAAACAGACACCGTGTGTTCTGAAGAGAGGGAGCTCCTCTACGATACGCATCGTGTTCCGAGCAAGTGAGTCAACCAACCATTGAATAACTCAACAGTGTGTCGAAGTTTCGCTATCTCTTCATATGTTAGACGAACGGACATTGAGTTTCCATAATTTGTTAGAGTTATTGCCCTGCCAGAACCGGTCAAATTTGTTCTTCCCGACATGAGTAGGTAACGGATGATTTTGCGTTAAAACCGGCCGGGCATACTGACCTATAGGCCGACTACTCCGATCGGGTCAGACTGTAATCTAGGCTTTTCAGATTCACGACTAACTTATGCTATAGTGCCAGTGAAAGTTGAGCTCGTTTGATTCGGATGTTGCTATGTGGGACAACACTCCTCGTGGATTGCCTGAATACCAACAGCAATGGAAGATCACTTAAATCCGCCCAGCTACTGACAATCAATGTTACCTGTTTGTTCATTATTATTGCCATCTACATACACTGTTTTGGTCTGTAGACGAGATGCTGGACTTGTGCCAGTGAAAGTTGAGCTCGTTTGATTCGGATGTTGCTATGTGGGACAACACTCCTCGTGGATTGCCTGAATACCAACAGCAATGGAAGATCACTTAAATCCGCCCAGCTACTGACAATCAATGTTACCTGTTTGTTCATTATTATTGCCATCTACATACACTGTTTTGGTCTGTAGACGAGACTGCTGGACTTCCTGGAGACGCTGCAGTCCAACTTGTCAAGTGGGGAATACCTTTCCCTGTCGGACTGGAAAATCCGCAGATTTGTGGAGACGTCAAACCGAGTTGTCCACTTCAAACAGGGTGATCATACACATACAACAAAGAGCTATTCCTCTCTTCCTGGTTTCCGCCGGTGAGTCGCAACAATTTCCCTGTGCTCATTTACCATACATATACTCATAAACTCAGTAGTATTTAGCTAGTCATAACAATTCACGTACACGGTATTGTCCACATACAAACGAATAAACAAAGTCCCGGAGACTACTGAGACCAACTGTCTATACTCAAATTTCTATATGTCTTCCTATTCTATTCTTCAGGTCGAAACTACCATGCGCTGGAGGCTGAAGAACACAAATGGAGATACCATGGTCTGCGTAGCGTTCCCAGTCAAGTTGGCTTAGGGAGCTGCTTGGTCTGAATGCTGAATTTTTGTGTTTTGTACCAGTTTGGTTCCTTTTTTCCGCTTGCCGTGTACTGCATCTCTTTCTTCGTTCTGCTTTTTGAACTGATCTAGCCGTTCAGATACACAGAGTTTATCACCATTTATGTGCTGTGCTGGTTGAACTGCAAGCTTTATCCTTCGAAGTGGCTTCAGAATTGCTCGAAGATTTTTCTGAATATATTCCGCAAACTTCTTACCTATTGGATACATCAACGAACGGCATCAATGACCGGAAATTCACTTTCGTTCTCACACTTAATCAGAGCATGTTAGAGGAACCAAGAGAGAGGAAGCAGCACGGCGAAAATCGTTTGTTCCGCAGTGGGAAGGCGGAGAGAACCTTCGGACTTCGAATGTAATTCATCATCCTGAGGCAGAACGTGTTTGTTTGGAATACGCGCATTAATTCTGTGGAAGTATATATGATTGTGAAATATAAAGCATTCAAGGCAACTCATTACCGCACTGCAGTCCTCCGATCCGTATTGACAACGTAACGAGTGATTTGGGCATCAGGAACCAACTTTGGCATTTTTATTTCAAGTGGAAGGTCTTCACGCGTTTCACCGATCCCTGAATCAAATATTTCTTGGCATACAAACAGCAGTTGGTCTATTCAAACACGTCGTTCAATCTAGAGTTGTTGGTGTAATCGAACTTATTCACCGGGTCTAAACTGGTTCTTTTAGAAGCGCTCCAAAATTGTTAAAATCCACTTAAAAAGACAAACAGTCGGAGGCTCACAATTAATCTAGCAACGAAGTCACGAAATATCCCATGACTAACGAAATGTTTTTATGAGTAAACAGGTAAGGAGTTCAAAAAATTGACCAGTAAAAGCTGCGAATTTCGTCTGCCCAACCCAACATTGCGACATAAAGTCAGTTATTATGAGATGGAAGCATACGCAACACAAACTTTATTAATCTGGTGAAGCTTCAAACCAACCAACTTTCATCGTTCTCTCGCTACATTTATGGACTTATTTGTCCAATGATCTGGCCTTCCATTGATGTGCGCGATGAACGCAGTAAACATTTTCGTTATATTTTGTGGTCTGTAGCGAGAACATCAGAAGCAATATCCTTTCAGTCTACCGCCAGCAAGAATTTCGCATCATTATGATTCACTTCGGAGTAAACCAAGGAATAATTGCCAAAACAACCAAATCACTCGAGTTATTTGGATGACGTCCCAGAAACGCAGAATCCGTGAATTAACCGGCTGATATCTTATCTGGAAGAAAAGACATCCACGAGGGTATCAGAATTGAGTGTTCCATGGAAGGTGTTAGGCCAGCTCTCCAGCTCTCCAGAAACACAGATTGTTTTTCTTTAAAAAGTCCACAATTAGGTCCGAACACAACTCAACTCGGTGTTCATTCAGTGGCAGGATTCTGTCAAACGAAGACTGAGGGACGTTTTGTTTTTCGTTATCCTAAATTGATTTATCAGGTAGGTGAATGAAAAATACTATAACGCCCAGTGCGCATTGTTAACATCCGACCTAACAAGAGCATACAAACGTGCGCTTCAGTGAAGTAAAGCCTGAAAATAGGTCGTATAATCTGCGGCTTTGGCCGTGTAGATGGTATCGTAGCACTCCCAGTTATTCAGGATAGACAGGAAGTGAACCACTCAAAATGCGTGGACCCACAGAAAGTCAAATCTGATGTCTGTATATCAGGAAGGTCAGAATCCTGAAAGTAACCTCACAACGCCCGAAACCTACTGAGATCCTAAAACTCCATCAGAATCTTAATAGGAAAGCCGGCAAACATCCAGGCCAGTCAATCATTCAATCAGTTCAGCAAGAGCCGATGACTGTTGATGCACGCCACGGAAGCACGACCGAATGTCATCAGCATTCAGGCTTTTCACAGAGGCACGATCGGTGTTGATGGGTGTTCACTAACGCCTATCAGACAGCCTGGATCAATGTCAGAAAGTCTCCTTTAAATAGCTTGGGGTCGTTGTAACCTTTGCTCTCGCACTTGCACGCACTCACACTCTCGCACTCGCTTGTTCGGAGTATATTTGTAGTGTTCCCTTCTGTGAGGCTTTTTCCGGCACTAGGCACTGGAGCGGGTCAGCAGCAGATACCACAGATGGGCGAATCAGCAGATATGACACCGTAAGGTTCAAGAATTTGCGTCAAAACACATCGATTGAATTTGTAAGAAATTCCTGGATATTCCTGTAGTCCAGTGGCGCACATAACTCTCGGCTCTTCACAAATTCTTACCTTATGTCGAACAACATTATCATTTACTTCATATATGGAACGTGAAACAGAGGAATCTGAGTTGTCAAATCAGCTGAAAAAAAACAATAACTATGCGAATTTGACACTCCAGTGGTTTTCAGAGGGACCTATCCGAACACCTCTTCCATTATGCACAACATGAAAACACGCAACTTATGGGTGAGCATATGATCCCTCCGACGGACGACTACCATCTCAAGAAGTACATGGCTTTACTCTAATATACGTGCATTGTATCACACATCTGTCGATCGTGGCCCCACGCGAAAAGTATAGATTAGTATGTGAAACATTTTACGCTATGTTTCTCATACATGTCTGCTTTGAAGCAGCACTGACAGCTAATTTGAAGACAATTAAACACGGACAGGAAATTCCAAAGGCATCACACATTAGGAAGGTTAGAGAAATCAGGGTAGAGAGGCTTTTTGCGCCATCAGACCTCAATTATAGCAGGAGGTGCATAAGAATCTTCTTGCAAATATCAACCCAAAGAAACCATTTAAAATCCGACGTCCACTTTCTACTTGGTAAGCGAAGCACACAAGCGGTCTCCAAAACTGAGTGATTGTATTCGAGAAATACACTCATTTGCAAATTAATTTGGTTTCGCGGGAGACCTTTATTGAATCTCTCGTTTATGATGTCCCGTGAGTCTCCCGTGAAAACCAAATCGATTTGCAAATGAGTGTATTTCTCGAAAACAGTGCAATTTGGGTTCAAGTAGATCACAAGGTTGACCGAAACTCGGGGACTGCGCCTACCTGATGAGCCCCAAGAAGGACGAAACCGGTCGTGGGCTGTCGAAGAGTTTTCAGCAATCTTGTGAGTAGTTTCCTTAATGAGTGATTGTATCTTATGGTTAAGATTACGGCAAACTTAGTGGACACCTTTAGTTTCTTTGAAAAAGACGCTAACGGTATCGTGCCTCACACCCGAACAGGCCCCACTAATTAATGTGTATTGTGTCGTTACGGTGGCGAGCCGGACGTACAAATGAGTTTGGGAACAGACGTGCGGAAGTTGGAAGAAGCAAGACTGGATTTAACCGACCAGGAGTAAGAGAGATTGAGGACTGTGACCTAAGTGAAGTGCAGACATGATAAATTAATCCATGCCACTGACGCCTTTGCGATTAGTCTCAGTCATATGGACGAGGAACACGTGACGATACACCACTCTAATTCATACGAACTACTTCAGAGGTTCATGTATTTGAATGGAACATCATCGTCGCTTGTCCGATTGAGTGTTTCCTTCCTACTCGACTGAGTTATATAATTTTCAGAAGAATCTGATCGTTCCCTATGTGCTTGGTCAATTAGAAGACGCTGTTCACGTGCTCTTATTGATCTTGTGTATCCTTTCTAGCTTTCGTTGAATTTGATTGGTCATTTGGTTTAAGGGTATATCTGACTAATGTGTGGCCTCCTTCGCATGATTTTCTTTTGCTGGTTACCCCCCTCGTTTTAATGTATTGACTGCGTGGCTTCTTTTGTTCATTCAAACTATTTATGCACACTGGACTGTTGAATTTGTCGACTGGATGCATACTTACCATGCGTTTTACCATTCATTTTTGGAAGATTTTGTTGTGATCAGTGTGTCGATCGCGATCGAGTCTTAAATTTGAGTAGTGCATTCGCTTTATTGCTATAGGCTGGTTTTTCTTTACAGACCGGCAAATATTTAAATGTGTTTGTTGCTTGAAACAACGTTCGTTTGGGGTTTCGGGTGGATGTTCTCATATCAATTTCAATTGAATACTTTGCTGACTTTGGGCTAGTTGGGTAATCCGTGATCATAGCTGTCAGGGTTCCGGGAAGTTCATTTTATAGGCGCGCGAAATCACAAGGCAAGAAATCTTGAGATTTACCAACAAAATGCTGTACCATGTGTACAAAATATGTATATGAAAGATTCATAGACTCCACATTATGAGGAATTCCGTCTAACTGTTGCAGGAATTGAAGCAAGTCCAAAAAGACCGGTAAGAGCGCAAATCGACGTGAATTACTGACAAACGTACTGCACGTGGTAACACGTGGTCAAAAAGTGAGCGGGAAATGTTCGTCAAAATTGACCGGACATGTTGAGAAAAAAGAGCTTTCGGTATCTCAACCTCATACTTGCCAAAGGGAGTTTGTCGCTCGTCGAAAATGGTTACTTTGTTTAGAACGCTCTGTTCTACCTGTAGGTTATCTGCTGGGAAAATTCGTTTTCTAGGCGTCGGTGTGGTTATTTTCCTTTTCCTAATTTGCATTCAGCTTATCAAATTTACTGCCAGGGCAATGTTTCTTTTCCTGGCAGAGATGGGGTCTTGGTCTTCTTTCTTTAGCCATACTGAGTTGCTGCAGAAGGTCAGGCCCAACAGTCCTCAAACAGGCAACTTAGCGATTGGACGCCCTCACTTGACATA